CTGTCACCAGTGTGTGGATGGGTAGGTGTGACATAAAAGTGCTTTGAGTCGTTAGAAGACTAGAAAAGCGAAATACAAGTCCATTTACCAATACTGTCTTTTGCAAATAATGTTTTAAAGAAAAATGCTGTAGACATCCCCGTATCTTGATACCAAAATATCAGTATTGTGACATGTGAAATCATGCATTGTGATGGAAATATTTGTGAGTTGATGAATAAAGATCTGAATTTTTTTGATTTTTTATAAATCACACACATGCACAAACAGGATCCTGTGGACATGCATTAGTGGAGAGATGTCAGAGTGGCTGCTACAAGCTACTAAGCAGAGAGTGCACCAGAGCAGTTTGGGGTTTGGTTCCTTGCTCAAGGGCACCTCGGCAGTGCTCGGGAAGTGCATAATGCATAATGTTTGTTTTTTTTCATTACAGTAGTTTGAGCAAATGAAGTGTTCAGTTCAACCCACATTTGATTTCAAAGCGTGTGGTGTGTCATGTCATGACTACAGGTTTTCAGCTGTCATTGTGCAGCCATGAAAAATAATTCAAACATGCATTTCTTGTTCTCTTATAACCTTATGAAGAAAATAAATGGGCGTGAGACAGCGATGAAACCAATTAGCAGACAATAGAAGACATTTTGTGTGCAAGCACAGGAGTCTGATCACCGGAGAAAAGACGCACAGGTCGATGGACTTTCAGCTCTAAACAGTTTTCACTCATCACTGACATCTCTTTCAACAACATGGATGGTAAGCTACGATCAACTCTTTTAAAATGTATCGAAACCATTCACTCTGATCTAAAATGACCAACTTACAGTGTGGAGATGCACACTTATCCATAAAATGATCACGTCACATGTCAAAGGCAAACTCATTTCTTCATATCTGTAAAAATATTTTAAAGTATTAAAAGTCATCCAGACGATATTTGTCTGGATGACAATTCTAGGCAAAACATTTAATCTGAGATCAAGAAGTTGTAGTTCAGCTTGGATTATAGTGAGTTGACTCAGAAACTTGACTTCAACATTAGCTTAGTTGATCACAACTTTGACTTTTAGAGCTCATCTTGATTTATACATTTTTATATCACGTTTAACATTTGTGACTGGAAAGTGTTATGACTATTGATGAATAATTGTTGCTTCAAATGAGTAAAAAACACAGCAGACATACAAAAGTACAAGATAATGTGCCCTTAAGCTATATACTGAAAAGCTGTATGATACAAAAATAAGCAACTATACCACCAAGCTCCTGAGAAATGTAGTATAATTCATATTAATGATGTGACATTGTTCCCTTTCAGGCTCAAGGAGACTTGTTATCTTGGGGAAAACTGGATCTGGGAAAAGCAGCCTGGTGAACACCATATTTAGAGAGGACATATGCAAAATCAACCATACTTCCAAATCTGAAACAAGTGAATGCAAAGCAGAAACCAAATGTGTTAATGGAAAGAGCCTCACTTTGATCGACACTCCTGGTTTCTTCGACACCAACATGTCAGAAAATGGTCTGAAGCCTGAGATAGTGAAGTGTATTGTTGAGAGCGCCCCTGGGCCTCATGCTTTTCTCATTGTGTTTAAAGTGGAGAAATTCACAGAGCACGAACAGGCAGTCACTACCAAAATAACAGAACACTTTTCTGAAGAAGCTTTAAAATTTGCAACAGTTGTCTTTACTCATGGTGATCAGCTCCAAGAAGGACAGACAATTAAAGATTTTGTCCCAAGGATCAGAAGCTGAGTGATCTGGTGAAGAAGTGTGGAGGCCGCTGCCATGTCATCGACAACAAATATTGGAAAGAAAAGCCAAAGGATGAATACAGGAGCAACCAGTTCCAGGTGGAGGAGATACTTAAGACAGTGGAGAAGACGATAAAGGACAACAAGGATGGCTACTACACCAATGAGATGCTTCAAGAAGTGGAGAACAAAATACAAGACGAGATGGAACCCATTAGAAAGTCATCAAAAAACATGTCAGAGGAAGAGATCAGAGAAAAGGCTAAGCTTAACGTCTTTAAGAAGCTTTTGATTCTAATGACAGGTACAGCAGTAGGTATAGTGTTAGGAGCTTACTTTGGTGTGAAAGTAATGATCAAAGCAGTTCTTAAAATAATGAAAGGTCTTAAAGACATGAAAGAATCACTTTCAGAAATTTCAAAGTTAGCAGCAGAAACAGCAGCTGGAAAAGCAGCTAGAACAGCAGCTGGAAAAGCAGCTGGAAAAGCAGCTAAAACAGCAGCTGGAAAAGCAGCTAAAACAGCAGCATTAACAATCCCATCAGTAGCATTCAAGGCTTTAGCAGTGACTGCTGCAGTGGGAGGTGTGGCAGGAGGTGTGACAGGATATCTTGCAGTTGAGGAAGCAGAAACAATGCAGGAAGCAGCAGAGAAGGCGGCAGATGCAGTCACAGAACGAGCCCAAGATATCTTAAAAAGAATAGATGAGATGTAGATGAGTCAAAGTTCAAAGAAAGAGACAAAGTTGAATCTTCTTGTAGAACTAATCTAAAATTCACTTTCCTTCAGATTAACCAATCTGTTCTTAAATGACCAAATTATTTGCTGCTGTGTTCTTATCTCCTTGTGTTTGTAAGTTGAAAGCGTGTGCATGTTGTTCCTAATTAGCATCGGTAACCGCCCACTAATAAGCCCATAAAACAGCATGAGTGCAGGGCAGACTCACAGAAACACATGCTGGTAGCAAAAAAAAACAAGGTTGTGGAGATGCCTGGGACTTCTAACGCAGAATAAACTTTAGCAGTTAGAAGTGGAGGTACTACTGCAGAAGGTCAGCAGCAAACAAACTGTTTGATTCAGCAGTGGGATTAAAATTAAATATTGTAAACCCTACGGACTAATATTATACAAATGTAGTTTTACATGAAATGCAATGAATCCCAGAATCTTCTTAAAATGTAGAAATTTCTTTATAAGAATGAATGGTGAATGAGGCACAATGTCCTCAAAATCAGAGGAATAAAGTAACATAATACATTGACTTTTGTAATGAACTTACTGGGCTGTTGATTAAATGTTTGACAGAAATCTTTATTTTGAAAATTGTTGTGTAATAGATATCCATTTAACCTTTTATCTCCAGTTTCAGAGTTGCTGTTTAATGTCTAAATGTTTTCTTGTGTTTTTCACTGAAGTAGATTAATGTTAGATAAGAAATGTGGGCTGATAGATGTCATTATTATTGACGTGAACAGAATGATTTTCATTGAACCCTCTCAATCCTCTGTATTCTGAACATGTATATCAAACATAGCAATAAAAAGATCAACACTCATTTCTTTTGTAAGTCCTTTTTTCTATAGAAACTCTGGAAAAACACTCTGGAAAAATGTGGATTCTTGTAATATATGGGAGAAGAAAAGTATTCCAGTATACTTCGGGAAAGTATAAAAAGGGTGAACTTTTCAAAAACAAACAAATCAACAGTGTTAAAGGTCAAATATGTCAGATATCTGCTGAAGTAAACGATAAAGTAACCTTACTATATGATCAACATTAAGGAAACATGATATGTTGAAGTGCTGGCTTCTCTGACAACAATGCAGCAGCCAGTATGTCGTCCTTCTAACTTTAGATTCTGCTCCTGAATGCTCTGGATTTGTTTGGACCAGAGAAGTAGGTGGTTTTAAGGCACCACAGGCGGCAATTTTGCCCCTCGCACCTCGGATTTCCAGGCAAACCAAGTTGCAGTGATGATAACATTCAAGTGATCTGCTTCAAATATAACTGATTGTACCCAACCTAAAAAGCCTCTGCATGTTTCTAATGAGTTCTCTACAATGTTTGAATTTTGACTGCAGAACCCATTTTAAACACTAGGTGTCATAGTTACATATTGATTTTTATTAGAATGTTTGGGAAAATTTAAATTTATAAAACCTGTTATGAATGTATTTTTCTTGGGTATTTACATTAACATAAATATTTCCAACAGTAATCAAAGCCAGAGAATTCTGTCATTTCATATTTTTGTCTTGTCATGGCAGACACAACATGTTTATCTTTGCCGTGGAAACACCAGATGTATAAGGAAGCATACTTGGTATGTAAAGGACTAGAACCTCAATGAGTAAGCTTTAATGTAAGGTATGGGATATTCACAAGTGCATGAGTGACAGAAAAAAATAAGGTTAGTTTTGCTTTAATTTTTTCTTGATGCTTTCTGACCCGACACTATATAACTTGTGTTTGACTTTTGTATAATAACTGAATAGTGGAGCTTCCTGACATGCAACAGAACTGGTTGTTCATACGCACGCTGATAAAAATAGAAGTGTACTGTGTGATGTGCTCATTAGCCTGCTGCCCAGAACCACGTCAGACAGGTGGAAAAACCAGGTGGAGGAAACTGGAACCGGACAGAGGAAGACACGCTGTCACGTCCTTGAGATCAGAGTCATTCTCTAAACCCTCGACTTGTCTACATTTTCTCAAGAATGGATGGTAAGTTATGGTTACTTATTCCCAATTATAAATACAAATGCAATTATTTCAGTGAGTCACTTGGAATAACAGGTTATTTTGCAAAGTGCCTGCATTTCATATCATTGATTGTGAGTATATTGTAGAACATTTAGGTAACAGAGCACTTATTGTTAAAGCCCTAATAACTTAACTAAGTTTGGCTACTTTACATGTAGTTTTTCTATAAATGTGTATGTTTCACCCTCACCTTTATGTGCCAGCATGCATATCAGTCCATCTTGTAAACTATTGTTACAGTGACAATAATTCTCACACAGACTAAGTTAATAAGATATTTAAAACCATCTTGTGTAATGTAGTATAATATACCTTTCCAATACAGCTGTGTTAATATCAATTTAAAGTACTTGTATTTATAAGTATAAACAGCAACCTCACAATAATGTGCATATGAATGACCAAGGATGCAGGTTTTATCTTTTCAAGGTTTCTGCCCCGTTAAAAGGATATCTGTCCTTAACACTGCAGCACAGTTTTTGCCATGATTGTGCATGGAATTTTCATGTTGGGGTCTTCTTTTGTAAAGTGTTGTAAAATAAAAACTCTGACATCAATATCACTGAGACAAAGTCATTATTGTCTTTTAGAATCGACAAAAAGAGTAGTTGTCTTGGGAAAAACTGGAGCTGGGAAGAGCAGCCTGGTTAACACCATTTTTGAAGAGACTGTGTTCAAGACAGACAGTTCAGCCAAATCCGGTACGACAGAATGCCAAGCAGAAAACAAATGTGTCAATGGCAGACGGATTATGTGGATCGACACTCCTGGGTTCTTCGACACAGACAGAGCTCAGGAGGAGATGAAGCCTGAAATACTCAGGTGTATCATAGAGTGCGCTCCTGGGCCTCATGTTTTTCTCATCCTGCTTAAAGTGGAGAAATTCACCAAGCACGAACAGGAAGTCATTGACGAGATACAAAAGTATTTCTCAGAGGAGGCTTTAAAATTTGCCATAGTTGTCTTTTCTCATGGCGACCAGCTCCCTGAGGAAATGAAGATCGAGGAGTTTGTCGAACAATGTGAATATCTGAGGGACCTGGTGAAGAAGTGTGGAGGCCGGTGCCACGTCGTTGACAATAAATACTGGAAGACCAAAGAGCAGGATGAATACAGGGCCAACCAGTTCCAGGTGGAAGAGCTTCTTAAAACAATAGATAAACTTATTGAAGAGAACAAAGGAGGCTGTTTTACCACTGAGAGGATACAAGCAGCGGTAAGAGACAAACAACAAGAACAAGAGAACATCAGACGATCATCTGCAAACAAGTCAACTAAGGAGATCATACACATGGCTAAAACCGAAGTGTTGGCAAAGCATATGTTTAAATTTGCAGATGTTACAACAGGAGCACTGTTGGGAGCCTTTATTGGTGGAGCAATGAAATTAATGAGGCAAGGGACACCAACAGCAGCATTGGTAGCAGGCGTAGCAATAGGAACAGCTGCAGGAGTATTAGCAGGGGTTGCTGCAACAAGTGGGGCAACAGCAGAGGAACCGACTTCACCTGGTGATGCTGTGGAGAAATAAAAAAAAATGACTTGATGAGAGTTGTAATATGCATATTATTAGAAATCATACCAAAAGAAAATTCTAAAATCTATCTATCTGTCTTTTTTGTGTTTTGGGCCTTTTTTGCCTTCATTAGATGGGACAGTTGAAGAGAGTCAGGAAATGTTTGGAGGGTTCATTGGGAGAGAGAAAGGGATAACATGCTGCTGAGGGTTTCTCAGTCGGTTTTGAACCCATGGCCGCTGCAAAGAGTACGACAGCCTCTGTGCATGGGCGCACAGCATAACCGCTAGGCTACCTGCCCCCCATATATTCTGTCTGAGATCATTTTAAACATATAAACCAATTTCTGTCTTTCTCTGTATCTTTAACCAAAGTCTCCTGAAACTTGGATTTAAGAAGTAAAAATACAGATGTGTTATCAAAGTTTGCACAGCACTCACCAAAATCAAAGTCAAGGTAAAAATTAACTATACAAAAAAACTACATCAAATTTGCATTTCCAACAGTTTTTCAATACTGCCATAGCTTATCATATCTAGTTTTATTAACACCTGCATGATAGCAACACGTTTTAAATATTGTGAAATGAATGTATATAAGACCTTAGATTACAAGGTAGGAGGTTATTGTTGATTTGTAATAATAATGAGGTGTCCAATAATTTGATTTGGACTTGTGTATGGAGTTCATTGTGTTCAATTCATTTTTTCCTTTAATGTTTGGTATAGGTGTCAGATAAGCAACTGTCAATGGTTGCATAGAGCGAATGTCCTGACCATTGACAACCTCGGGTATTGAAAAATGAAGCCAATGCGGAAGTGCAAAAAACTGTGCATGTTGTAGCTGTTTGACAGGAGGCTGAGGACCCGCCTCAGCTCCACTTATTTGCCTGTTTCTAGGCTAAATTGAAAGTTTGTTTAGCAGTTCCAATATGGAAACCTCCATAGTAGGACTTGAAACACCTCTTCAGAAACCAATGGGTGACATCACTGAGACTACGTCCATGTGTTATTCACTCAACATAATCTGCCGAGCATTCAAGCAAAGTCTGCCTTAGTTTGGGTGTGTCTCTAGGGAGTGAATGGCTCTATGACTTTCCATCACAATGCCATTTGTTTTAAAATCACATTACATTCTAATTTGAACGTTTATTTGAAGAAATGTCTTACCTTAAAAGAGTGTCAGGATGTCTGATCTAAGCATGGGACATGTTAACCTTGACTAAAATGAAATGTAAAAAGTGGAAGTGTATTTTCGCAACAACTTTTTTATATTTGTACTTTTTTTTAGAAGGGATATGGATGGTTATTGTTATTATTTAGCAGAGGAAATGTTTTTGATATCCATGATGAGCACGTGTGCTGAAAAAAACCTTTTGATTCTGGATCTTTCATGGAGGATTTTTCTTTGTTCAAACATTATATGCAACAATAAATCAGGAAATCCATCAAGTGTTTACTAGAGTCTTTTGTTTCAGCAGTGGGTGCATTGAATACAATTCATTTAGCAGAGGTTTGTATCCAAAGCGACAAACATCAGAGAGTAAGTAAAACACAAGTAAGGATCTGGAGAGGAGGAAACAACATCAGTAAGTGCAACAAAATCTGATTGGACACATAGGTGCTGACAGGATATGCACAGAGGCAAAGCACATCATCCACAGCTGTTAAATATAAAAGTGTGACAGAATTAAGCATTTAGTCTGTACACCAAATATCATAAAACTTCACTGTAGTTACTTTATATGCCATAAATGTTTGTGGCTTTCTTGCTACACCCTGTTTGTTTTCTGCTTTACATGGAATCATACCTGTTACTTATTTTGGCTTCTTACCTTCACCTGTAAGCCTCACCTCTGCTGTCGGACCTGAGTGGGGTCACTGTTTCAGATCCGGAAACACAGAAGAAGAAGGGGGACAAAGGAATACAAAAAAAACAACCTTACGGCTGGTACATCCATACTCAATGTGTACAGTTCTGATTACAACACAGAAAAGCTTAGGATAAGGAAACGTTCAGACTGCAAGACTGATTAAAGCACAATGAAACTCGTCCTTTTGCCAACATATTAACACATGTCTATGTCTTTAAGAAAAGCAATGCATGCACACGTTTTTTGGTACATCCTCGTACAAGATAAAGTCACAAAGTAGATGTTTAAATATAAAATATATATGTAGCTATTTGAGGTACACAATTCAGATTTTTGGTGTATGAACAAGCGTAATGTGTCTTGATCATTCCATCAGCCGGTAAACAAGTCAGACAAGTCATAGTGAGCAAGAGGTGAGTCAGAGCAGGAGAACTCAGAGTAGAGACGTGTCGCTTGTCGCTAGATCCAACTAATTTGTCTGCAAAGATTTCAACATTTGACAGCATGGACGGTAAGGACATTTTTATTGTTATATTTCAGCTTCTGAGCCCTATAAAGTACAAAATATTGTATTTTTTGTATTTGTATGTTTTTGAAGCAGGAGTATTTCATTTTTTAAAATAAGGCTGGCTCTGACACACATCAAACATTCTTGTGACAATGGGCTTGAAATATTGTTCATATATTTAATTTTTTACTGTCATGAAAAAAGGAAATCTATAGATGCAACTGCATGACTTATTAAGCAAACAGGACCATGAGCGGCAAATTGATCATTTCTAGTTTCAACTAGGCACTCTATGGTAGATCAGCACTTACCGAGTGCCCTTTGTCCAATTGACATTCCTTGGACCAAGATTAAGTCTATAAATTAAGATGAGTTAAACACTAAAATGAGTTAAGACAAGAGTCACAGTCAATCTCGTCTCTGATGGTCTTGCATTTTTTAGCTCATAAATGGAAATGGATTTGAGTCGTTTTACACCTATGGTTCATTTGCTCCGGTCCGAATCATGGCTGCAAAGTATTAAATTAAATCAATAAACAACAAATGAGCATAGGCTGTGGGTCTTCAAGGTGTTTGGAAGTCAGATGAGTGATGCTTGGTCATCATCTGTACCCTGCCCCCAACTAGAGGCGAACTGGAATTGAATAATTACCTCAAGTTTGGTCTGTATCAAATATGGGGTATACAGTATATGGTATTCCATTTTTTGTTTTATTATTAGAAATCAATCAATCAATCAATCAAACTTTATTTGAATAGCATTTTTCATACAATAATATATCACAAAGTGCTTTTACATCAATATAAATCAAACAGCAACAACATGACTCCCTCCCCCACCGCTACCCCTCGATCCAAAAACTAAGGTAAAATAACTATTTTAAAACAGGTACTGACGGACTGAGGAAACACGAACATTAATTCTTAATGAGGAAACACAGGAGGTTAAAAATGTTAAAAAACTAGATGAAATGAGATTCAGTTAAAAGCTAGACTAAAAAGGTAGGTCTCTTAGAAACATCCGTCTAACTTTCTATCAACACAAAAATAAACTTTAAAACAATTCTCTGTGATCTGTGTCTCAGATCTATCTACTTCAGTAAAACCATGAACCCACCACACCTATATGATTTACTTAATTCAACCTAATTGCACCTTGTGTTTAAATCTCCAGCACAATAAACCAATAGGGAAAACCCTTCAAGAACCAATGTGTGGGGACTGATGAACTGAAACAGAATTCTTATTCTCTTACAGTGCGAGCTACAAAGAGAATCGTCCTCGTTGGAAAAACGGGAGTTGGAAAGAGTAGCCTGGCTAACACCATATTTGGAGAGGCCATATTCCAAATAAATCACCTCAATGGCTTGACAAATAATTGCTCTCAAGCTGAAACCAAATCTGTCAATGGTAGAAGCATCAATCTGATCGACACTCCTGGTTTCTTCGATGCTGAAAGGTCTGAGGAAGAAAATAAGCCTGAGATGGTGAGGTGTATCACAGAGTGCGCTCCTGGGCCCCATGCTTTTCTCATTGTGCTGAAAATGGAGAAGTTCACCGAGCATGAAGGGGCTGTCATTGCAAAAATATGTGATTTTTTCTCTGAGGACGCTCTCAAATATGCTGCAGTTGTCTTCACTCACGGTGACCAGCTCCCTGAAGGAATGAAAATCGAAGAGTACGTCGAACAAAGTGGAGGTCTGAGTGATCTGGTCAAGAAGTGCGGAGGCCGGTGCCACGTCGTTGACAATAAATACTGGAAGGCCAACGAAGACGACGAATACAGAAGTAACCAGTTCCAGGTGGCAGAACTGCTCAACACCATAGATGAGATAGTGAGGGAGAACAACGGAGACTTCTACACCAATGAAATGCTACAGGAAGTAGAGAAAGCAATACAGAAAGAGGAAGCGCGCATCAAAAAGTCATCGGGAAGCATCTCACAGGAAGAGATCAGGAGCAGGCAAAAAGCAACGTCTTTACGATCATGACAGAAAAAACACCAAAAAGGTGGATCAGAGGTTTAGTGGGTTTTGCGGTCATTGCAGGAATACTTGCTGCTGTCTTGGCTGCGTTCATCAATTTTAAAGCTGGGAGGGGGACGACGGAAGCAGTTACAGAAATAATAGCAACACCTATAGCAACAGTCGTAGAAGAGATAGTAAATGTTGTTCCAGATGTGACTCCAGAAGCCAGCGTCATAGCAGAGGCAGTCGAAGATGTCATTCAACCCATTGTGGAGATTACACCAATATGGGAAGATTTCATCGACACATGGTATGCTTTGTTTGAAGGAACTCATGATCCTTGGTGTTTATTTTAATAAACACTGATGGACTTTAAGATGACATTGACATTGGTAGCTTCTGGAAGACAATTTTTTGGGGGGCTTAGTACAGCCAGGAGTTATTAAAAAAAGCAATAAAAGACATCAGAGTTAAGACTACTTTCTATGTGCTGGTTATGGTTTACAGTCCCGCTAGCAACTTGAGACACAAGAATTCAGTCAAAGTGACAATTGACACGTAGGACAAGATTGTTAGCTTGGATTTTTTTGCTTGTAATATAAATTAAGTCTTTGTCATATGAAAGCCAATGGGTTCCAGGATTAAACTAAACCTGATGAAATCTGCA